TAGTTGAACCAACAACAATGACTGAAGAAACAAGTACCACAACCTCAACACCAACAGGTATCTCCACCGTCATTCAACTGCTACTGCGAACATGATCTCTGTTCTCTTTTATTTACGGGATTAGATTCAAGTTATCTTAATTATTCTTCTTCTTCTTCTTCTTCTTCAATATCATTATGTATTTGAATTTTGTAATCTTCTTAACGTAATACGGATTTCACCAAGCTGCAATGTTATTGACCAATAAATCACCACCATCCATCTTAGTTCTTTCTTATCATTTAGAACCATTAAAGCAAATGTACGATTATGGTACCTCTGTCGGAGATAGTTTTATTCCACATACATGGGAGTATTCTTGGCGTTGTTTTGATGTTGCAATCAATGACGATGGAATTCTTCTACTTCACAAAAGATACTACGAGCTTTATGTACGTATTTCGAAGTTTTTCTCCTTAAAATAAGATTGATCTACGTTCTGGAAATATTTCTGTTTGTTTATGTTAGTTAGGTTCTTGTTAATCAATTAGAAATCATAAATTATATTTTTTTAAAGACAACTTACAAGTAACTTTTATTTCCTAACTTTTGTAAAATTATTTAGAATATAAATACATATGGAACAGCTATTATTCAACTGAATTTTAAATTTAGATTTGCCGGAACGGATTGATTAAGTTTGATACACCATGGCATGTACATTGGCCATCTCTATTTGGACAAAACACTGATGTTATTATGCTGGCTCCGTATTGGGCTTTGACCGACGACTATCAATCATTTATCAATGAAAGAATATCCGATGTTTACTATCAAGTGTACACTGAGCTGAATAATAATGCAAAGTCAACCAAGGTTTTAGATCAAGCCACTAGAGATGTTAATATACATTTCCAACAACTTTTACCAACATCTTTCAAAGCTTCTTGGGTACTGGTTGTCACTTGGAGTAAGCTTCGCCACTCAAACCTGAATATGTATACTCGCAATCTGGTAATTCATTTCAGTTTCATTCATTCATTTATTCATTTCAGTTTCATTAATTAATTGTAGGAGGGCCATAATGTAAACTACGGGGCTACCAGTAATGTATGTCACCCTCGTTAAATAAAGTTAATTAATAAATTAATTTATATAATTTGCTTCAAAACATTTTTACATATATTAAAAACTATTTATATTTTTATGCAACACTAGATCACGATAGTATTCTCGGTTTTCACGTGACGTCACGAGCGGATTAAAACTTAGTGTCCGCCATATTGGTGCACAGGAAGCTCATTAGCATATGTCAAATCACACACGTGCGCTTATGTTTTGATTCGAATTATGCGATGTCCGAGGATTTACTCGTCGATATTTCAAAAAACGAAACCCAAG